CATTATGGGTAATATAAGTAAAAAGATGTATAAATAAACGTAAGAGGAAAAGCCCCAACAGGATATAGAACCCCTATTATGTAACAATGCTGAAGATCACAGGGGTCTTCAGCACACAGCATATCAGAGAATCTCACCACAGGCCCAGCCAGCGCACACAGCTCCTTCATTTCAGGCCAGAAATGGAGTGGCAGCGCCCGGCGGATCACCCTCCCCAGAGAGCCGCTGTCTTCATGCCCGGTCAATGCCATGTCTTCCTCTGTACTCCAGTCAGCCCGCTGGCACATGTGTGAGAACAACCACTAGCTCCGCCCACCCACGCCGTACACTGACAGATGAGGAGGAGTGTGGGCGGGACAACAGGGTGAGTCACGGTTGCTGCTTTCAGAGTTTTCCAATGCCTTATGGGAATTGAAGTTCGACAACAGCTGGCGTGCCAAGGTTGCCTACACCTAGCTACTTGTGTCATCTGTAAAATCAGATGCAGCGCTAGTAGCACTTAATTCACACTGGATGTGGAAGAGCATTCCATAGAATCAGCTTGTGACAGCTGTTTATAAGGTGTTAGCGAAAAGGTGTACCATGGTGAGACACAGAATGATTGAAAGCAGGGGGTGAGCAAACTCCAGCCCCCCAGCGTTGGGGCAACTACAAATCCCATAATGCTTCCGTCTCTCGGAGTCGTGCTTGTGACCGAGACTCTTGCAATGCCTTATGGGATTTGTAGTTCCACAACAGCTGGCCCAATCATGATTTTAAGCAACCTTTGTTAGTTGTTTACATTTTTTTTATCCTGTAAAAGAATATTAATAATACTTTCCAGTCCTGCTCCTGGTCTAACTCCAATCTGCGCTCTCTTGCATCCTTAACCCTGCCAATGTGTTTTTTGCACACGTTATAATCCACATTTTAGGCTTAAAAATTACTTAAAACCCCTGAGAGTTATACATTTAGTGAACGCAAAGATAAAATGGCGCTATTTGCAAATTTGTACGTTGCACGATATTAGCACAACTCTTTATAAAACCCCCACATTTCTGTAAATATTACACTTAAGTTAGTTTTAGTGCACAAAAACACAATATAATAATATGAAAGATGATGTTATTCCAAATAAATAGATACACAACATGCCAGGGTTAAACATTGAATTTGTCTGTGAAATGGCAATAAAAATATGGTACTGCAAATTGTCCATAGGTGACACTTTTAAAGCCTTGTAAAGGTCAAAATTTTATAGTTATCCGTGAATATTGGCCCTAAAATTATTGTTCTCACTCTGGTGCATGCGGTGATACCTTAAGTGTGTAGCACAATTGTTTTGTATGTAGGCGCACCTGACGCATGTTTACATTAATATGTACTTGTTCACGGGGCAGGGGCCTTTTTGTTTTTTTTATTTTTACATTGATTCATTCTAATCTATTTTTTAAAACTTTTTTTCTTACTTAAAGGAGAACTATGAGGTGAGTGACTTTCACTCCATCTCACAGTTCAAGCCGACATGTGACAATGAAACTATCACAGTTCGGCTCAATAGATCGGGAAGTGAGCAAACACATACCATGGCTTGCTCACTTCTCGATCATGTCCCTGCAGAGAGCCGTGACTGTCACTCACAGCTCCCTGCAGGGATCCCCCCCTATCCTCCAGCGATGACTGGAGGAACGGACGGGGCGGGTACAGCTGGCTCTACCTCTAGATAGGCAGAGCCAGCTTTCACTCACGCAGCTGGGTGGATCCAGAGAGAATTGTCGGGATCCGCTTCAGCTGCAGCGTCTCTAGTTTGTGTCCTCCCGTTACCCTTCGGAGAACTATGGGGAAAAGCACTGACCCCATAGTTCTCCTTTAATATTGTGTTTTTGTGTGTCATATGATGAGATCACTTGATTTTGATCATGGCACAAGGTTTCTTCTGGATTTTGAATAATTTCCTCTCATACTCTTCTAGAACTAAGGGGGGGGAAAAATCTGAAGCGTGTTGTCGGGATCCGTCCCGGCTGCGGCGGTCTCAGTATACCGCGAGCTGAGGTCACTAGTTTACGTCCTCCCGTGACCCTTAGGAGAACTATGGGGAAAAATACTTACCCCATAGTTCTCCTTTAACTTCATTGCTATCACAATAGGCAGCAGAGAGGCTTTAAAAAACGTTTCTCTAATGCCTGATTTCAACATACGTGTAAAAGAGCCTAAGGGATCAATTGGTGCACAGCTACAAAAATACTTACATTTCCACTTTATTTTCCATGTATAAAAAAATTAAATGTATCTGTGTACTCAGATTGCCACTGTCCAGCTAAACTCTTTATCTGACCCGATTTCAAGATCATTTATGCCAGATTCTGCTTTTACCTTCTTGTATGACAAGCAGTAGGGCAAACTGCTATAATAGGTCATGTATCTTTGTTAATTAATACATATGAAGATTTCAAGCCAAAACACATTTAAGGAAATGTTAGTCTAGCGATTGCATTCAAATGGAGCATGATAGCCACTGTATACGAAATCAAGGAAATGGAATTACCCAGCAAATTCTCCAACTGCTGCAAAATAGTTGTAGCTTTATCCTTCACAAGATACACCTAGGCATCCCAAGTAACCCATCCCAGGAAATCAAGCAGCTATGTGCATTAGCAGGACCTCTGGTGAGTGATCGTTTCTTTCTTATAAATCAGCTATACATTTGTATAATAAAGTTAAATGACTGCACACACAGGCAAATATACTTTTAGCATCTTAGATATTTAGTTAGGAGACAAAGACGGCACCCAATATTGTAAATGCTTCACCAAGGTTTCTGGTTGGTTAATACCAGGTCCGACTTGTATTTACTAAGAATTTAAACATTGCATGCTATTAGGAGGATAAACTTACATTAAGTACATTTCTACTGTCTACCTGCAGTAAATACTTTTAACCTTGGGCCATCCCTATGGGTGGCCCCAAAACATAGCCAAAAGATGCAAGCTTGTGCTAAAATGTATACCATTGTAAAGATTGATTTTTTTAAAAATCAGATCCCAGCGCTTCTTGGCCACAAGAATCCTAGACAACTCACTAACTTCCAGATGTATTTTGATAGATGGATGTCACCAGGCTTCTGCCCCAAATTTGTCCATCTATCTCTCTCTACAGGAAACAAATATTTATCAGCGGAAGTAGCGATATACACTTGTACAAAGCATGTATTTATAAAAGTATGCATCCCTTGACTCCTTCCACTCCATTTTGTTTTCCCTTCCGATATGCACGTATAACCAAAACAAGTTTATTTTAGTTCTAACTTTAGTGTATTATAATGTCATATCTACAGTACAGTACCTTCTTCTGGTCTCTGCCCCATTATCATGTAATCATAGTGATAAGGAAATGGCCTATTTTCTGGTTGCCAAAAGTGAAATGCATACATTTTTAAGTCAGAGAACAACTTTGAGAAACATTTTGACTTCATAAACCAGCACATTTACTTTAGGTCCGCTTTTAATGCAAATAATATCGCTTCTCGGCCTTTTGGCTAAGATCAAGTGTAGTATCTGTTCTTATCTGCCCATTCACACGGGTGTAAAAAAAAAAAAAAAAAAAATGTAATGCAAATAATATGCCGAATATTTAAATACTCTTCCAAGCAATATGAGGAGCCTTCCTGCCCCCTACCACCTCCAGCACCAAATGGTCAGTAAGCCTGCCCATGAAATAAAGTGCCATTTGGAAGGTGTGGTGTGCAGGAAGGGGTGGGTTACCTTGCAACATTTCTAGCAAGTATTGTTATTTGCATAATAAAGTGCTTCTGGGCTTAGCACATTAGAGATATTTGAAGAAATGTTTCATGATATGTGCAGGACCTGCTAGTTACCTGCATTTTGTTTTTTAATCAGTTCAGAAAGTTTTGATTACAGTCAGGGCTTTAATTTTGTTTTTTAATCAGTTAAGAAAGTTTTGATTACTGTCAGGACTTTAATAAAGTTACACTTGGATAGAATTGCAGGTAATGTTATTTGCAGGTAATGTTATTTGCCCCGGGAACCATGAAGTCTGGCCTATATATTATGCAGTTTTCACCTTCAGCCCAAAGTTAGAGGTTGTCCTGCTACTTGCCCATGACCAACATTGGTGGCCTTCTAACCAATAACATCATACAAGGTGAGGGTGAAACCTCCAATTTATTTACATTTTTAAGAGTGCCTTTGGCTTCAGGACACTCAGAGTGTTCTGAATAGAGAGTTATTGTATATTACCTGCAATCACCAGTAGGTGCCTGCCTACATGTTAAGTTCAAACTGTACATTTTGTGGATCTGAGGGGCACCACTGTCAATCAGTAGAAGGGGCATGTGGACAAGCTTTCTTTTTTCTGTGACACTTTAAGCATTAAATTGTGAATATACTGCTATATAGTTCAACAGTTTTCTGCATGCTGTAGATCAAATTAGAGTAGCAGGGGACAAAAACAAAAAAACAATGGACCTCAGTGAACTGTCATTGTAAAATAATTTGGCGAGCTGGGAAATTCTTAATTTCCCACACTCCTCTGTCTGTGGTGACCTCTAACATGTACTAAGTGGGGGCATTGCATTTCAGAAGGAAATAAGGATGTGCTAAAAGTGTCCAGTGTATCACATATGAATAAATTAAGTTCCTAATACAGTCCTCATGTATAGCATTAAAAGGTCAGTCTTTACCTTTTACATATATAGTTGGGTTAAGAGCTCACTTTTGAAGTACAGCACATTCTGGTACTTCTGGAACTGGTGTGCCATTTCTGTATCCTACTATGGTGGAGCATAATGTATATTTTGTACTAAAGGAAGTCTCTTACTTCATTCAGATCATCTCACAGATGCTATGTTTTCTCATCAACATCGTCAGCTCCGTGTTTTGTGGTCACCTGGGGAAAGTGGAGCTGGATGCTGTCACGCTTGCCAATGCAGTAAGTTTACAGGCTTTACTTTCCTTGGACATATATGATCCATAAGTTTGCATTTTGCAGGTTGTTGGTGACTTCATTCAGGCCAGTCTTTCTTTATTTACTCCTTTTATGCACCTTAAGGACCAGCTTTTAAATGGAAGCTCTTGGTTTATCAAACTGTATCAGAGCAGCTGGCTTTGGTAAATACTTCCATACCCAGTTACAACCTAATGTTTGAGAGTACATAGTCTTAAAACACTGGAAATGATGGATACATTCTCTTTTCAAGTAACTATACAATGCTAGTTGTAAAGCCATAAATAAAAATCCTATCTGAATGTTCCTGCAATAGAAGAGGTATTATACTCACTCCTTTGGCAGCCTGTTTCTCCTGCCTTCCTTCCGTTCCAGCAATGCAGCCTCCTCCAGACGCTTTAGGACTGGATATTTAGTAACTGTTGTATCCCTTTGTATCCTGCTGTGCAGTATCACGGAGGATGCAGTGCTGGAATGGAGGGAAGGTAGGAAACATGGGACACCGGAGAGTTGAGCATGATACCTCTTCTACTTCCGGAAACCTCCAATTGGATCTTTTTACAGGCTGACAGAGTCTCTGTAACTAGAATAATAACTAGCTGAAAGTATGAGCCAATCTCATAAAAACTTGACAGTGATTCTAAGTTCTAACCCTTCCACATTCTGTCTCCAATTTGAAAAATGATTTAGCCGGAGTTCTACATTTATATTTAACTTAACCATAGGGTATAATAATGTAGGAGTTTTTATTAAATATGTGAGGTATTTTATGTCTGACAGTTGTCTGTTCAAAGTAGTCAGTTCAGAAGCATATTCCAAGAAGACATTCCAAGAAGACAATGTCAGGATTCATCAGGCTCAAATTGTGAAAGAGTGGTTCAGGGAGCCCGAGACATCATTTTTACACATGGATTGGCCACTGCAGAGTCTAGACCTTAACCCCATTGAGAATCTTTGGGATGTGCTGGAGAAGACTCTCCCATCATCACTACGAGATCTTGGAAAAAAATGAATCCAACTCTGGACAGAAATAAATGTGACATTGCATAAGCTTATTGAAACAATGCCACAGTGAATGTGTGACGTAATCAAAGCTAAAGGCGAAATATTAGAGTGCGTCCTTTTTTTTTTTGGCCTGGCAGTGTATATTTCTGAGGTGTGCAATCCTTATTTTTGGATGTAATAACTATTTAACCATCGAAAGCCTCTATCTCTCATGAATGGGTATTTTATCTTTTGAATTTTTATTTTATCACCACAACAAAAGGCTCCTTTTCTGCTTTCCTCAATACAACTATGTATCCTACATTCTGTTAATTGAGCTGTTGGTGAACTGAATACCCAATTGCACCCTCTTAATTTGTTACTGTAATGCAGTCAGGCTGCATTTACCGTCATATGCCACTTTTTTACTTTTCCACTCCCCCCTGAACACTGCTCCAATTAACAGTGCTGCTCAAGGAATATTGATTAGAGCAGTGTTCATTGCAAGTCAGACCTCAGGAGAGTTTATGTGTGAGAGAGGAGGGCTGACTATCCTATGTGCTGCCACAGGCAAAAAAGAAATGTGTTACCGTACTGGGACCCAATAATAATTTACTAATGATATCAGCAACACCAAGCAAGGACAAATAAAAATTACAGTGTAACACTTTGCGAATCATCTTTACTATTTCTGTAATCTTTACTAAAACTGAGAGAAAAAAATGAATTATATTTCTAACTAGGTCTTTTCACCTTACAACCTTGCCTGTGTAAATCCAATTTACACACGTTCTAATCCCCCATCTGTGTCTGTGTGCCTGTGTCTGTGCTGTCAATCATATTAGTTTATTTGTTTCATAGGTTTTCAGAGGGGTGATAATGTAGTGGGTGGGAATATTTATTATGTTTTAAATTCGATAGCAACTAACACTGTACTGCTTTTAGCAGCATTGTTTAGAAGCTACATCTAAGATCATTTTAAAATACTCTTTGAAACGCAGATAAATAAAGTCTGCTATAACACCCGCCTATGATTTTGCGCATGGACACACTAGGCTGTTTACTACACAGCCATGTGGTGACCCATCACAGACACGTTCTAACCCAGTATGGGTCCCAAAGCCATAGTTTAAGAATCACTGACCTATGGGGAGGTAATAGAGAGTAATATTTACCTCCTTCTTACTTCCTGCAGCAAGCCAGCACTGTTCTTCCCACCCTGGAATGTGGACTCGCTCTCATCATCTTCACATACAATGCAGAACCAGTGATGACTGCTGGTCAATACTGGCTGTTAATACTGAAAGTGGCAGGGAGGAAGCTTGCAGTATTGAGGAATACTCTCCTTAACATGCCCCTAACTAAATCAGCATAAGATCCTGAATATAGGGGAGGGGCATCCACATGACATTTTTAATGACTAATGGAAAGCAATTGCTTGTAAGCTTTTGGAGCACTAATGCCTCGTTTCACACAATTTGTCTGAATATCAGGATAGCAAGTAATGTGAAAGTTCCCCTATATGGACAATCATAAAAACCTAACGGAGAATGTAAACCTTCCCCAGTTCCCAACTCGACTTTATGCATACAATGAAAAAGAATAATTCTGCCTGCTATACGTTATTGTAATTTGGCCTTTTTATTGGATCATGCACCAAATCATTAGATAATTCCAAAAATAAAACTTTTAAACTTATTCAGTGAGGTAGTGTGATGAGTGCACAATAACCCATAGCAACCAGATATCGGTTTTCTGTATTTAGCTCAATTAAGAAAGGATATCTGGTTGCCAAGAGCTACTGCACTATAAACATCCTTATAGCTCCTTTCATTGCATTATTTTTTTAAAAAGTAACTCATTCTGGCTTTATTTGTTGTACATATTATAATGAACATTGTCTGATAACAGGTTATTTCAGTCACTGGTCTTTCAGTGGGCCTTGGCTTATCTTCAGCATGTGACACTCTAATTTCACAGGTAAGTGTGATCTACGATAAGGAATGCATTTATCAAAGGTATTAATTATGAAGCACAAATATGCTGTTTTCTTTACAGAGCTAGAAAAGCATTGGTAGAGCAACAAATTAAATTGATTTTGTATGCATGTGCTGGTAATATGTGAGGTATATATACTTTATTAGGAACTAGACATGGTTTTTATAAGATACAACATCTACAAAAATACTAGAAAGCCTATTTAATATGGTTGTTCTGACAAAAAAAAAGTATGTGCACTTTTCACTTTTCATCAGCTTAGAAGCATTAGGAAAAGTGATTGCAATGTAAGTTAGTGCATGAGGATATCTGATTAGGGCTTCGTCATATGCCGTACATCTTTCATCCCCTGAGGTCTGATTTACTTTGCATAGTAACATTTTTGCAGGAGGGGAGAGCACAGGGGTGCTCCTTAATTTTTCAATCAGTAGCAAGGGTGGATCCTGTACACAGTTGTATTCCTAACTACATTAGGTAAAACTGAGATCTAAATTGACTTCTGGAAGGTCAAACAGCTTAAAGAAGAAGTCTCACCTTGTATTATTTTCACAGCTCAGTCACCTAACTCTCACAATAATATGTGTGCCTTTTATCCCATGCTTATGTGGGATGTAAAAAACTTAGATACAGACTTTGACAGTTCTCTCCTGTTCGTTCCTGACCACATTCTGCAAAGGAGATGGACTCTTGATTGCAAGGGCTTATCACGGTTTCTGAATTTCCCAGACACAAGCCAGGTGACAGGAATGCAGAGGCTCCTTTGCAGAACATGTTTGAGACTAAAGAGTGAACTGTCAAAGTCTGTGTCTCAGCTTCTACATCACACAGAAGCATAAGATAAAAATCAACATATATACTGTGAATGAGCTGTGAAAAATAATACAAGGCGTAACTTCTTTAACCTCAAATAGAGCATATGTATTAAAATTATAAATTTAGCCATTTTATGCCTTTCAACCTGCATAAAACTGAGTTAGGATCATATGTTTACTTGATGGTCCTTGATCACAGTCAAATACAGTATCATAACTAACCATGATGATTTATTTTAAGATTATGTTGTTCTTCCATCCTAGATATTCGGAGGGACCAATCTAAAGTTAATTGGCATTGTCATGCAGCGTGGAATCCTTGTACTACTGCTGGCTTGCTTTCCTTGTTGGGCACTGTTCATAAACACTGAGAATATTCTATTGCTCTTCAGACAAGACCCAGCTGTGGCTCGGTACAAAGAATGACTGTGAATCATGTTTTCACTTTTTATTCTGGAAAGATCTCTTAAAGCCCATGCACAAAAGCGGGTTTGGTATATCAAAATATGATCTGATCCCTTCTGTCTCTTGGGTTAGCCGCACCTTACTCTCTTCTATGTCTGAGCATGATTGTGTTCATCATGTATTCTGTTTGTCCTTGGAACTCAGTATCTGCCATCTACACTGTTTCTTCATATATAGCTGTGGTTATCACAAATTTTAAGCACCCTGTTCTGTCTTTGTTCTCCTTTGGGCAGTAAAAAAACATATTACTTTGTTCCTCTGACTGTTGTTTTTTTATATTTCTAGTCTTGCAGAAGATTATGTACTGGTTTTTATCCCTGCACTTCCAGTAAGTTCTTTATATGATCAAAATGAACAAATATATTAAGGTGTCTGACCTATAGAGCTCATCATCTCAGCCAGGTCCCTGACGTTAAGGTCCAGTTTAAATATGGTAACAGCACTACACTGGCAATTTTGGAGTATTCTGTACTTGCAGTTCACAAAGCTAGTTGTTTTAAATAGAAGGGTCCTGCTGATTTTTTTCATTAATGTGCATTCTTGAGTCTATAAAAATAAGTAGTATTTAGAACAAGAGAAATGCCACAGCTCAGTTCACACACCATGATTGGAGTGGGGTGCAGAGCTACGAGCAGTATTCAAGATTTGGCTGCCTATTGCTTTCCATGGCCTGAAAAGAGAGTTTGTACAACACACTGTGTTGGATCTAATTCTGCATCCAAGACCTAAAAATGTACATCATTGTGAACAGGGTCCAATAGAGTTGTGCATGTATTCTTACATAGAATACAATAGCACACAGGACTACTAGCGAAATTATGTAGCATTATCAACCTGTGGGGAAGGTAGTGTTAGATGCACTAGCAAACTTCAATGGTCTTGACTAGTAAATTAAAACTGAACTCTGGCTAAAACTAGCAGTTACAGCAACAGTTTTTTTCCTTTTGGGATAAAGGTTTTACATAAATGAATATAGCTGACCATTGTAAGCCCCCATGTCACTGTTAAATGGTTTGTCTTAACCCTCTCACTGCAACTTTTGCTGGAAAGCTGAAAAATAACCTACTGGCCAGATCACCAGATGAGAGTAGAGAAAAAACAGTCTAAAAAAGAAAACTAAAGCAACCATTACATCTAAGGATTGGCAAGCTGCAATGTGTTAAAAGTCTGCTATTGGATTTAGATAGGCTTTAAACCCATGGCCTTGAGCTGCAAGTCAAGAGTGTCATATGTCAGATATCCATGATTACCAACAGAGTTCTTGATGACACTATTTGGTCTACATATTGTCTGCAATCCCTCAGTGTATTGGAGCCTTTCTCAACCAGGGTGACGCAACACCCTGGGGTACATTCTGCCTTCCTCAGGGGTGACTGAAAATGTTTGGACTCCTGATGTGAAGGGGGGACTTGTGATGTGATGGGGGGGAAACTCTGATGTGAAAGGAGGGGTCTGTAATTTGAAGGGGGGCTCCTAGTATGAGAGGGGGACTCTGATTTGAAGGGCGGGCTCCTAGTGTGAAAGAAGGGGACTCTTGATGTGAAGGGGGCTTCTAATGTAAACTGGGGCTCCTGATGTAAATGGCGAGATTCTGATGTGAAAGGGACTCCATACTAAACCCTATCTGGGATAAGGGTCTGGTATGGATTTTAGAAGGGGGTACACATCATTTTTTACATTCACGTTTTTAATATTTTAGACTGGGTTGCCTCCAGATTTTGCATATTTTTAAAGAGTGACACGACTGAAAAAGGTTAAGAAATGCTTGTGTATTGCCATATCAGAGTAGCTTCAGAATGCACAGAAGGAGATAACTTCATTGTTTCTCAGCGCCTGAAGTCTTGTGAGATTTCAGACCTGAGTACCAATACTTGCAGCTGAGGCTTGTTTACAGCATGTCTATTGGGCTGCATTTTTCTGCACACTACCACGCATGTATAGTGTGAACAGGGAACATAGAGAACAATGTTTTTTTGCCCTGTTCACATTACACATATCCGTTGGTGTGCAGAAAAATGCAGCTCAACAGACATGGTGTGAACAAGTCCTAAGGAGAAGAGAGACTGTGCACAACTAGCATGCTAGGAAGTATTTCAGAAGTATTTTCCCAAGAGGTAGCACAACATATATGAATCACTGTATTCAATTACTGTGTAAAATAATAAAAATAATAATTACATAGACAACTTTTTACACATTTACCTTGTTTTTCACAGCTAAGTAAGCAAAGCTGATTGTATTGTTAAAATTGTTAGAATGTTATGTTTCATGTTTTAAATGTCTTGTTTTAACTAAATAGGCTGCATTCCTATATCAACTACAGGCACGGTACTTACAAAATCAGGTATGTATAAATTCACGGGGAAAAATGTATCAAAACTGAAGCAGTTGCCCATAGTAACCAATCAGCTTCTCTCTTCAGTTTGTTCAGTTAAGCTTTAAAAATGTTTTGTCTTTTCCAATTTTGATAAATATCCCCCATAGTCCCCAAACCGCAAAATTATGGGGCAAAATGACACAGATTTAGTACACACAAGTATTTTAGAACTAATGTAAAGGGCAGAAATACAATGTGCAATAACCACAGCTAAGCATCCCTGTATGGTGTAAAAAGGTCAATCAAATTAAATTATATCAATTAAAATGACTAGAACATTATTGTTAGATGACATCAGTCAATGTTGATGTTAAGCAACCATCTTCTGCACGTTGATCACATTATGTGAAAAGCTTTTATCTAAAGTACTAAGTCCTTCCCTTATAGCCACATCAGCAATATTGATTTAAATTTTTCGTGCTCACTATGAGATGATAAAAAAAAGACTAGAAGGGGTCAGTTACATGTTAGCATTTCTGCATTCACACCTTTGCATTTTAGGGTATTGTGTTACAAATAGATTGTGCAATCTGCATCTTTGAGGCTGTTTTCAGCACAACACACCTTCGATAGGGATGAATAGGAAAATGTAGAGGCGTGACTGTAGTCTTACTGACATCTGACAAACAGCCTGTTACATTTGTAAGATGAAAACTAGTTACCACATTATTAAAAATTGTATTATTCCATGCTGTCACAGGGAATTGTGAAGATACAGATCATTGTCAGTATCATATCAAATATCATAAATGGCTTCGTGAACTATATCTTTCTCTTTGTTCTGGAGTTTGGAGTTATGTGAGTATATGAATGTTGGAGCTGATAACATTGATATCTATGATATAACTTTGATATAAAGATAACTTCTGCATCCTGAAAGAACAGTCTACATTGGCTTTGTGATAAGGTGGATGGATATCACAAACAGCCAACAAATGTGGTTTACTAAGCAGTGACACTGATTGATGAAGGAATGCCTGAGGTTTGTTATCCAATGGTACAGTCATGCTGGTATTTACTGCCCACACCTGTTTAGCATTATATCGTGCTTGCTTGGGGCAGGGGCATTATGATCTTACTTTAAGCCTGCGTAGTCATCTGCACAAAAACCTTAAAAGAGAAGTAAAGCCAAACTTTTTTTGGCTTTACTTCTTTTGGTTCACAGGAGTATAGTTACCAATCTCCTCCTGTGACCCAACGTCAGCATATAGTGGCCTACCGTCTTCTATATGCTGGCAGTGCAGAGCCGTGCTTCAGCTGAGAAGGATCCCAACAATATTGTCGGGATCCACCCAGCTGTCAGATTCACAGCTGGCTCTGCCTCCCTAGAGCCAGGGCGAGCCATGCCTGCCCCCTTTCCTGTCTTTTCCTCCAATGTGCTCTGGAGAAGCAGAGAGAGGAGAGGGGGGAATCCCTGCGGAGAGGGGTGACTGACAGTCACTGCTCTCTGCACGGAATAAACCGTGAGCTGAGAGGTCGTGTTTACATGATTGCTAAACTCTCAGTACAGAGGCGGCGTGGGAGAGCTGCAGGGTCACACGTCGACTATAAGTATTAAGAAGGGTATGTTTTATTTTCCCAATACTTTTCCTTTAATCTGGGTACACACGGAGAGATTTCTGACAGTTTCCTCCACCATGCTAACACCTATGTAGATTGTATTCTAACAGGTGCATAGACCTGTGATCACATCTATAATGCAGCACAACATATTGTACATAACTATCTTGAAGTCACAGGATTTTAAAGTGACACTAAACTTAGGAGTTAAACCTTAAAAATGCATTCAAGTGCCTTGACTATTAACATAAATGTATCTTATTTGTGTATCACTCAGCTGTAGATCCTCAAATCATCTCTGAATTGGTGCTGACACTGTGCTTCCTCCTGGAGGGTGGCTACTATTATTCCCCATGGTCCTGTGTGTATTGTAAAGTAGCCACCACTCCAAGCTCACTCCTGTGATGGACTACAATCTCAGATTTAGTTTACTAATTTGTATTGAGAATGTAGTCCATCACGAGAGCAAGCTTGGAGCACTGGCTACTTTACAACACACACAGGAACAAAGGTAGCCACTGGCATAGGGCTGAGAGAAAACTGTAAGTGCAGATGCACATACAGCACATAGCAGATATTTATTTTAGAGAAGGCACTTTAACATTGTAATTTCTGCTCTGCTTTCAAGTTACAGACGAGAATATTGTTTATTTTAGCTAGTGTTGGTGCTTCCAAGTAAATAAAAGGTACATGACGTGAAAGTGCTAGGGATATAGACCCTCAATAGCATTTCAGCAATCTGTGTTGTCACGCTTTGAAACGTATTAGTAGTATATGTGTAATGCACACAGCACAACAATCACCAGCACCTTTATATGTACTTTTTTTTGTTTATAGGGGTTCAGCTTGGGCCAACACTATTGCTCAGTTTTCACAGGCACTTTTATTATTCCTTTATATTCGGCTTAAGAAACTTCATGTACATACATGGGGAGGTATGATCTCTACATTTCATTTTATTAAACCAATACAATATCCATAATATTGTAACATAAAGTGTGACACTAATGTAGTCATAAAAGTAAAAAAATAATTTTAGCATTCATATATATATATAAAAATAAGAGTTCATAAAATGTAAAAATTTAAATAAAAAGAAATCTATATTTTCCATACACTGATTCATTTCCTAGTACTGTCATTGAAAGGTGGTGTGTACAAACATCAATGACATTCACATACAGTTACATCAATGTACTTACAAATTCATACTGGGTTAAAGAAGGGATCAAAAATAACTCTGGTGAAACTTTTTCTTAAACCAAAAGGTTGGTCAATGGTGTGTTTGAAAGACTGGAACACCTTTGTAGCATTAGCGGTGCCGAGCATGCTTATGGTGTGCATAGAGTGGTGGACCTATGAAATTGGCAGCTTTCTTGTAGGTAAGCAAAATAAGGTAGAGGACTAATAATAAACCTTCTGCACTGTGTGTCTGCATACTAGTTTATGAAATAAATGTTTCTAAAAGTTATAAGTCATAATGTTTATGTGTGTTTGGTCAATGAGGCAGTGTCAAGAGCAGTAAAGATGTGCAAAGTTTAGTAACCTCTAGTAACCAATCACATTTCACTTTATTGACGTAAGATGAGTGAATTTATAAACAATTGGCAGCGCCATTTGCCTCGCAAATGTCTGTAAACATTCTCTTAGTGCAAATATATGCCAAAACAAATGTTCTTTTGTTTTTTTCTTTACAATTAGAATGAAGTTTTCAATTGTTTTCATGTAATATCACATTATGGCCACTAGACTGAGCTAAAGGGGCATACGAAATAACTATTTTGTGGCCATAATGTGATATTACATTAAACAAAAAATTGAAGCATATAAAAACCTGGCAGGTGTTCTAATCCCTCTCCACTCTATCCAAAACTAAAAAAAAAAAGTTTTGGATTCAGTTGCACTCTAAACCTTCAGTACCCAATATTTTCCAAGGTCAGTTTTAATCTGATTTGTTGCTATGGGGCAGTATTGACAGCCTTTATTATAGAATCGAATGCCTGACACCTGTAATCATCAATAAGGGAATTTATCAAAACTGGAGCAGGCCAACTATGGAACAGTTGCCCATGGCAACCAATCAGCTTATCGCTTTAATTTTCAAAGCTTAACTGAACAGACTGAAGAGAGAAGCTGCTTGGTTGCCCTAGGCAACTGCTCCAGTTTTGATAAATGCCCCTCTTGGTGTTTTACTTTTTTTGTTATTATATATTCTCCAACTGTTTTATTTTCAGGCCTGATAAACGTGGTGGAGCTCGGTGCCCAGTCTGTTATATATCAGGTGGTGACCATTGCATATATGGTACTTATATTTCTTTCAGAGTATTGCTAACAGAAATATTGAGAGGGCCATTAACAATAAATGAAAAAAGAAGTGCCAAACAACCTAGCGCAATAAATTGGGTATATTGGGACAAGGAGTATATTTGATATTATTATCACATGTGAGAAGGTGGATGAGGGCTTTAGTGAATTGACATTGTAGAAATGGTACTGATGTGGTATGATGGAACTTGACGTTCAACCTCTTGAGTGGTGATGTTTTAAGCCGAAGTACAAATGCTAAATATAGCAGGGTTGTTTGGCGCATCTTTTTCCTTTTGCTTCCTTAGCCCACACATAGGACACCCTAGTCCACACATACCAGGAGCAGCACACCTGCGCAAAAACACCCTGATCGCCCCCCCCCCGCTCAATCATTGCACTTTTCCTTTAGAACTTTTAATTACCATTAACAACAAGTAGTAAAATATTTGACATTAAAAATACACTTTGAGAATAAAAAAAAGAAGTTTATTCTAGGGAGTTGGTGGGTTCTGGTTTATTAATGTGTCACTAATGTGTTTGTAAAGGACAGCATGTAAAATGCAGTATAATCATTTTATGATCCTGCCTTCCTAACTTTATAGTGTCCTTATAACAAAACACAGGCAAGTGCTTCATTATACTTTTCTTGTGTCTGCACATTATAGGCTATATCTGAGGCAGCATAGAGCCTGAGCTGCTTTCATTGTTTATCATTCAGTCCTGAGCTCATGGGTTTAATTCCCACCAGAGGTACTAAAAATAAAATCAGAGGGGTTTTAACCCTTTCTTTCTCTAACTGTTAAAGCAGAACTTAGCTCACCTCTGCTTGCTGGCTCTTCTTCTTGGGTTCTTCCGGGTCTTTGGCTGTTTTGATTGGCTGATGGATGATATATTTACTCTTGTGCATGCGCATGGGAGTTCTCTGATCCCAGAACAGTGGTGTGCTGAGAATGTACACTGTGCTGTGCATGCGCACATTCTAAAGAGGATCATGAACAGGCAGGTAAGTTTGTTTTATAGCATGTCTCTTCTGCAATAAAGTGCCTGCTTGTTTATAATTTTTTTTCTCCACTTTAACTATTTAAGAAAAAAAAAACAACACAATAGCTTTACTATATTAACAGTAATATACTGTAATGATATATCTATCTTAGATTCCATATGGTATAGGTATGGCTACCAGTGTCCGAGTCGGCAATGCACTTGGTGCAGGTGATATTGAACAAGCAAAGAAGTCCATAATAGTTGCTTTCCTTATAACAGGTAAATGTTACAAATATGAGAAATCCTTATGCTTTTGCCTGTTTAAGTTAAATTTAGAAATAACAGAAAACATTTAATGTAATAAAGATGAATAATAACATGCAGTTTTGTAGCAAAATGTTTAAAGTACTTTCTGCAAGTACAAATATGTAAGGTGAACTGCTAGTAAGTACCATTTAGTCAGAAGGTCATCTGCTACATGCCTAAAGTCCAGAGACAGAGACAGATTAAGGGAAAACTGGGACCTAGGCAAGGTAGCAGCTTTGCTCAACCCCCCCTCCACCCTTCTCTCTTTGATAAGGATTGCAATAAGCACAAGGAAGCTGTTCCATTGGCATTGTCTGTACATTGAGCATGGCCGACCCCATTAGACACCAACTCCCTGCAAGTGCATCCTCCCTTGAGAGATGACATACAGGTACACAGCTTTGACCAGTTGCACAATCTCCCTGGTTTACTGCAGGAACATCAAAGTTGTCTTCTGCCTAGATTGCCTTGTGGATGATCCTGCTCTGCTAAAGCACATGTGACAACTGACAGCAAATGCCATTTCCAGGGCCAGCTGTAGTCAAACCCATCTAAGCACTCCTGAGGAAATCATTGCTTTATTAGAAAATCTCCAGGCAGCAGCCCTGCCATTAACAGTACTATTACCATTATAAGACTTATGAGTCTGAACCAGACTCCATACCTCCTTAGGTACCAGCCCAATGACCTACAGGACCTCCAAGAAAAATATAGAGCTTAAAAGTTTCTCTGTTGTATCACTTATTAGAATTGTACAATTACTAAGCACTCTGTAGGGGGCATCCATGGATTTTTGTCATACATGTTTTTAGACGGTTGTATTTTTTCAACACAAATGTCTCTTTTGGCACACACAATGCAAGAACTTTTATCTTCCTCACCCTTGTGAAAACTGTTATACTCGTTTTAGTGGGAAGTATCATTTATCTTGCCTATTATCTAATAATAATAGAGTTTTTGCATAACACACTATAATGTCAAAATTGCCCACAAAATCTACATTTTTGTTCAACTTTTTAAAAAATTTGCATTGCATAATATTCACATAAAAGAATTATTAGAAAGTCAGTCATTTATGAAAAATACATGAAATACGATGCAAAACGTGATAAAAGGTTTTCATGCATATAGTCATTGTTTCTTGCAAACATTCTCTGTGCTTCAACATACTCATTCATACTTAGATGGTAACACATTTTCTGTTCTTCAGCGTTTTTCATGATTTTGGATGCAATACTGCTTGCAGCCTTGAAGAATGAGTTCTCGTACATATTTACTAGTGATGGGTATGTTGGATAATTTACAGCAATGAAATATGTTGTGTTCCTTTAAGAAATCCTCTCATGTATATGTTTTAAAAAAATATGCCCACATACACACACTTATATATAGGTTGGGTCTGTGGTGATTGGTATACACAGAAAGGGTTGATACATGTTTATATAAACACTTTCTAATAATAAGGACACCTATGCCATCACTGCTATAATGTCTTGAAGTGTATATCAGGAGAAAACAAAATAGTAGGTCGATGCCAGGGGTAGACACTCCAGCTGTTGTGGGACTACAAGTCCCATGAGGCACTGCAAGGCTCTGACAGCTACAGGCATGGCTCCCAGAGGCAGAGGTATGATTGGATTTGTGGCTTTCCAACAGCTAGAGTTGCCTATCCCGGGTCTGTACAATACATGTACATTTCATCATGTTCTATCCCTTTTTTTTTTTTTTAAATAACAAGTACACAAAAATAGTGTGCTCCAAACTTGGTTTTAGCTGACATTGTAGTGCCTTTGCTGTACTGAAATTTCAAGAAGCATTGTTAGGTCTTTCTGTTGGACTACAGACCTCTGGCTACGCCTGCCCCTATCTGTCCCTATTCACATGCATATATTGGTTTCTTTCCAAGCAAAACAATGCTGCTGCCTTTATTCGCAAGAGCCTGCCCACATACTGTGTGTAGGAAGAGGGTTCTTGGAATGTGTATTTCTGGGGGAGCATACCTATGCAATAAGAACTGACCTCTCAGTAACTGCCCCTGCAAGAATTTTGCAAGTCTGGTGATGATGTTACAGGGAGTAATAAAAGTTGTTTCTTGTGATGGAACAAGGTAAAAGAAAAGAATAATGATGGGACAGTAGTAGAGAGTAGAGTGTGGTTTGAGGGTAAAATGCCTGGACATACCATTTAGGGTGAATATTGGCTATATTAAAGACAACAGACAGAAATTAGATAATGATGGTTTGCTAACCTTCATTCTCCCCTGATTTACAGTAACTCTAACATACATGTACTTGTAGAGGAGAAAGCGACAGATTCCTTAGGTTTCTCGCTTGTTCTTGTGTACATACATACATACAATCTCAGAAACTCTTATTACTACTGTTCCTTGACTTTAAACTGATGTCAATGTATATCTCAGTGTAGTGATACATGTTTAGATCACAATTACAGCCACAAATTTATTTTAGTTTTGTAAAAGTTTGGGGTGGGTTAGGACTTTAGGTTTTTCTTGAAATCTGTGTCCCCACTGGGTAGATTTTCCCTCACTTCCTGACTGTTTATTTATTTATTACTGGTATTTATATAGCACCAACAACTTACTCAGCACTTTACTTTCACATCAGTCTCAGTCCTCAAGAAGCTTTCCATGTAAGGTCCCTTAGCTCACATGCATACATACAGGGCCGATTTAGACAGGAGCCAATTAACCTTCTAGCATGTCTCTGAAGTGTGGGAGGAAACCCAAACAAACAATAGTATAACATGCAAACTGACCTTGCAAGTGACCTGCAAACTTGCTGCAGTGTCCTGACCAGGATTTGAACCGTGGACCCGAGCGCTTCAAGGAAGCAGTGCTTACCACTAAGACACTGCTGCCCTGTTTCATGTGTGACAGACAGGACAGGAAATGGGGGAAATCTTCCTAAACATATACTGCAAACGTTTTTTTTGTAGTGACAAAGAGATAGTCTAGAATAAATGCCAGGTTATGTGCCCCCATTTGGGAGATTTCCCATTGCATCATGTCCAGGGGACAAGTGCCAAACAGTACTGCAAATAATGGTATAATTTCCCTTTGGGAACACAAACATCATTAAAGCCTGACAGAAGCTCTAACTTTTTTTTAAAACTTTATCTGAAAAACAAACTATGGCTGGAATTGGGCTTATTGGTTTCTTTTTTCGAAAATCAGATCTTGCCGTATGATTGTATAAATATTTTGTTGAGGAAACATAACAATGACTTTTTCTGTAAAGAAATCTCAATTACAGTTTAAGTCTTGTACATGTTCTATGCATTAATTTGACTTATACTGGTCTCATTTTCTATAGTTTCACTGACCCAAAATATCACATATATGAAACTGTGTACTTCTGATTGTCACACTCCACCAATATCGTTATATGTCATACAGAAGTATCACCATAACTAATCCCTCATAATGAAATACCACTATGGTGATATTTCCTGAAGTTGGAACATGCACATTTGACAGTGCTCATTATCATTGGTTGTTAAAGCTGAACTCAGGGCACACACACTTCTATTTAAATATATTCCTCAATAGCCACAAAAGATATAAATTTACCTTGTGTCTACCAAAGGTGTTTTTAAACCCAGATATTACCTTGCAGAAGTAGTGGTGACATCATCACTGCATTGTACATACAGGGGTTGTCATAGCCTTTTCACTGCCTAAGGTGGGTGTGGTGCACAATAAATGGGTGGGGAAGGGGGATGGGGGGATATATTAAGTAGGTGGGGGTCAGGGGGTACATGCTGGGGGGGTGGCAGGGCTTTGCAGGTTACGTACTGGCCAGAGTGTTCAGCTCAGCTCCTGGCAACCATTGATTGCCAGGAGCTGGGTGGGACACCAGACAGAGCGTCCCAGGTTGCGAAGAGCTGAGCAGGGAGATGTGTATTGCCCTTACACATCTCCCTGCCCAGCTCCTAGCAACCTGGGACGCTCTGACCAGGAAGAGTAAGGCAGGCACACGGCAAACATTGTGCTCAGAGCAGCCATTCCGCTTTGCCTACAGCTCCCCACGCGACCCAAAGAGATGCCGCCTGTCTGAAACTACTATATAGAGAGAATATATACCAAATGAAATGATTAGCACATAAAATATAAATGTTCTGATTTTCTGATGCACATAAATCCACATTGTTACACAGCAAGAATACATTGTAAAGTGTGATGTTCCAAACAAAATGCTTTGCCTGAGCAAATCATCTGCTAAAGGCAAAAGACAAAATAGAAATTGTGGTCAATGATGAGGACAGCAATGGTTGTCTTACTTTTAATAGATACTAATTCTAATTTAGGAATTATTTATATTGAATTGTCTTTATAAGGGTCTACAATAAGAAATACCAAACTGTTTACCCTTTGTTTTTCATTTTCTTCCAGAGAGATAGCCACTCTTGTTTCTGAAGTTATACCTTTATATATTGTGTTCCACATGTTTGAATGTGTTGCTGTAAGTATGGGTTTAAAGGAGTTATAAAGTCCCAGCATATACTTTCCTGTTATAATATCAGCATTGTAACAGAAAAACATAGTAGAGTTGTTTTGATAATGCAATCAATGCTTACTTGGAAAAATTAAAAAGAAATAAAAAATCCCTTTTATGTAGTGAGTGATGCTTTCTGTCTGTCCATCACCTACATCAACTTCCTGGATTCCCAGTGTGTTTTGTATCTCTTTCCTGCTACTTGATGTTATGAAACATCAATTTCTTAAGAGTACATATCCCATAATGCATTGCTTCCAGAAAGCAATGATAATGTTATATTGTTCAGACGTTGAGTTGTAGCTCAGAAGGCAGGCTCTGTGAGAGTGGTGACACAAGAAAGTTCAGATTCACAGCGCTGAGTGAAATTGTGTCAGTGCATTGAGGAAGTACATCCTATGGGCATCTTCAATAAACAAGTTTACACATTTTTAGATTGATATGGTTATTAGGAGTGAAAATTCAATATAGAAATATATAAAGCACATTGATTTAGACATGTGTGACATTTAGCTTCAAGTGGTAGTGCATTAAGGACGTGGTTCACTCGCAAACTTCTTCTTTTTAGGGCTTCCTGACCCCTTTTATTTAAAAGTTCACAGACATGTTTCCCTCACAGGGTTCCTCCAACATAATAACACAACAACTTCAGCTTTGTCTTTCAGCAAAATAACATTTTCAGAGACCCACTAACTTAAGGTTTTCACTTTAATCCTCTGGACTTAGTAGCGCATGGGTCTCAGGACTGACAGGGTTATTCACTAAAGGGTGAAGAGTTTGGAGAAGGCAGGAGAAGTGAACCATCTTGGACAGCGTAGCTGATTTGGAAAATTTTCCAGTTCAGCTCACTTTCTAGATCAGCTATGTTGTCCTACATTGTTCACTTCTCCTGCCTTCTCCAAACTCTTCACCCTTTTGTGAATAACCCTGTCAGTAATGCACTGGACTCTGGACTTAGTAACGCACTGTACTCTGGACTTAGTAACAAATTGGACTCTGGACTTAATAAACCACTGGACTTAGTAATGCCCTGGATTCTGGACTTAGTAACGCACTGGACTCTGGACTTAGTAACGCACTGGACTCAGGACCCACCTGAGGCCCCACGCAGCCCACCTGAGAACCCGCACAGCCCATCTGAGTTCCTGCAGAGCCCACCTGAGACCCCACACAGCCCTCCATAGATCCTGCATAGCCCATCTGAGACTCCCTATGGTGAGCTCTGCATGGTTTCAGGTGGGCTGGTCCCTTTCCCTGCACATACAGCTCCTCTTACCTGCCACTGCTGGGCCCCATCCACCTTCGACTCCTGACCAGCGCTACTGGGCCCCAGCCCTGGCCTCCTCCACCTTCACCTCCTCCCCTGTCAGTGGGCCCCCCAGCCTTGGGTCCTGGGGTGGCTGCACTGGCTGCACTGCCGGTAGTTCCACCAATGTATATACTATATGGTTTGGGGGGTCTTTTACAAACGCTAGCAACGCAGCAGTTGAAAATCAAACCAATAGGAAAAAATTGCAGAAAATTCAAAAATGGCTTGGCCAGCTGATTTGAAAAATGTTCCGGAGGGCTTGGCAGCGAAAGGGTTAAAGCTCCTACTCCCATGTAGGATATAGTGACTTGTGTAGCTAAATATACAAATGAACTTTTGAGCTTCTTGTAGGTTCCGTAGTTGTAGCACAAATGAATGCAAATGTTTTCTGCCTACAGTGTGTATCTTGTGGTGTACTTAGAGGAATAGGAAGACAGAAGATTGGAGCACTCATTCTTGCCATCGGCTACTATGTACTTGGATTGCCAGTGGGTGCCGCTCTCATGTTTGCAGCTAGGGAGGGCATAAAAGGTATATTTCTGGATTTTGTACATAATATGAGAGCAAGTGTTACATATATCTTTAATATGAAAACTTCCGATGTTACTTTTGGTGGCCTGTTACAGTATTCTTTTAACATAAAGTAATCAACTTTGACAACTTTGTAGCAATTACTCAGATCTAATATAGCCATGTATAGGACTATTCTTGAAATGGCGAGGGCTGCAGCTGTTCACAAAAATTCAACAAATATTAAAAAGGAATGCACGGAAAAAAAATCTGAGTTAAGTCCAAGGATGTGTATGGTATACCGATGTATAGTGAAAGCTATATTATCGGTGCTCTGTGAACCTGTACATTGTATAGAGAAAGAGAGAGAGAGGAGGTGGCATACACATTGGTTTTTACATGTAGTATTTTATTTTCAACAGTAGGGTATACTCAGTGGCTGTCTATGCTGTTTCATCTGCCAGACTCTGCGAGGATTCAGGGTCTGGGTCAAGGATACATCATTGGTTAGACTTGAATTTTGTTACTTAGCCAATCATTTCTGAGCTTGTCATCAGTGGGTTTGGTTTGGCTGTAACAAAACGCATGCTTGTTGCTGGGCTCTGGCTAGTCTAAAGTTCTGCTGCTAGGTGCTGGGCTTCTACTCAGGTCTGAGGGTTCAGGCTCTGAAAGCATACCATATGCTACTAGAGTCCACTGAACATCTAAGAGGGACCTCACCTATGCTGATCTGGCTATTATTTTGAGTCACTGGGGACACTGGAGCACCAAATAAATCTCCACTGGTATATACGCCTAACCCAAGATGATCCTGTAGTTTAAGGAGATATCGCTGGGGACAATGGAGTAACACCTGAATCCCCACTGGTCCAGAGCTGCAGTCATACCTGGTACAGAGAAACACAGGAAGCTCTGTTGTAATGGAGCTACTTCTGCCTGCTGGTGAGTTGGTGAAGTCTGAGATCCATGCAGATACTGCCAGCTAACGAGAAAATGTGCTGCTGTTGGGTATTCCAGCCCTCCCTTCTCCTGTTCTTAATAAAACCTTTCAAAGCATCCGAGAACTTTAGACTGTCCTCTCTGCAAGAGAAGCAACCACTGTAAGTACTATGTCTAGGGACAAAACAATCTCATTTGGGAGTCCCACTTGCTTTATACAAGGCCCAGTTGGGCGGAGGCACTGCTATGAGAAACTTTATTGGGGTCCCATACTCCCGCTTTCAGTTCCCACACAGTTGCATGCTACTTCAGTAACCTAAAGAGAGAGACGACTAAAGCGTTTAAAAACAGTGTTACACTTAGTTAATTCCTTTACTTCTCTAATATACTGATCAGATGTTACCTAAGTTAACTGCATTTAGCACATCTCTAGTAATTTGGTGGATTTGCATCTATAAATCATAGGCACCTAGAGGTGCCCGCACATACACCCATCAGCTACTAATTCCCTGCTTTTAAAACCGTGGCTAGTCTGATGCTTCCCTGCCCTTTTGTGTGGCTGGGGGCTTTTCCGATGTTGTCTCATGTGCTTCCATTTAGTTTTTACTGCCACATTTCATTCTTCACAGGTCTTTGGATTGGAATGATTCTCTGTGGAGTGTTCCTGTCTCTTTTCTTCACTGTCTATCTTGTAAAAGTAAGCTGGGAGGATGTCTCCCTTGAAGTAAGTGTCCATGATTGCAAAACTCTCTATAATCTCGTCATTGGGAATTGCTGATCTTTAAGGCCTGGTTCACACCTGGGCGTTTTACAGTGCGTTCCTACACGCTGTAAAACGCTCAACATGTGAAAACCAATGCGTAGGAACGCGCTACAAAACGCCGTACGCGCAAAGAAGTACAGGAGCTTCTTCTGGGCGTTTTGCAGCGCGTTTCCATTGGTATTCCTGAGTGTGGATCGGGGTTAACAAAGCGGTAACCCCGAGCCACACCCGAGCCGAATACAGCGTATAGGTCTTACCTTGTCCACGATCCCCGCTATGTTCTTGGCGGCTGCCGACTTCCGGGTTCTGTCCTTTGCGAGCGGCCGCGTCGCAGGGGGGCGGAGCCAGCGGGAAGTTTAAAAGTGAAACAACATTTACCCTCAGTTTGGGCAAATTTCCTCTCATTTCCTGTGTGGTTACCAAAACAGGAAGCAAGGGGAAATCTCTCAGAAGGGAACACAGATAGCAGTAGTAACCTGATGTTCTAGCTCTTTCTCATTTTGTCAAAAACCTAAAAAAAAAGAGTTTTGGCTGGAGTTCTAGAAAAAAAATGTAAATGCATAGTTACAATACAAATGTCATGAAACTAGGCAAATGAGGGCTTAAGAGTGTTTGTTTTTTACTAAGCTTTCACAAGATGACACTTAAATATATTCAGTAAATATTAGTGTAAGAAACTCAAATATTAAGGTGTTGTATTTAAAAACAATTTGCAGAGCCATTTGCCCTAAATAAATGTATGTACATTAGTTTTGTGTGAATGGAGGCAAAAACAAATGTTATTAGCATAGTTTCTCTATAGAGCAAATTCAATTTTATGTAAATACTGCATTGTGCCCACTAGATGGCGCTGAGGAGCATAGGAAATAAATAGTTCTTTCCTATGATCCTCAGCTCCACCAAAACTGTCTCAGTTGTCTTCCCAGGACTGTAGATGCACATGTTGCAAATATACAAGAACAACTGTTGCATAAACGTTGCAAACTGAGTAGCAGCCTTAATACATCAAATTGTGTTACTTATTTGCTTGATACATGTCTTCCACTATATGTTCTCTTATTACTTTAAAGGATAAGTGCACTTTAAAACAAATTGCACTTATCCTTTAGGGCCCTTTAAGGTGACATCCCTGCTCCCTCCCACAAATGACTGTGGGAGGGAGCCGGGCCTTTATTGATTGTTGACATCTGTGGCGGATGTCTTCTCCTGTTTGCTGTGCCTGCATAGTACATCCCCACTGACTTCAATGGGGCTTGTCTACCACTGTCTCCTAGGTTAGAGACGGGCCACACGGGAAAGAAGGCAGCAGTGATGTCACCTTAAAGAGGCCTAAAGAAGAAGAGCACTTTGCTTTAAAGTAAACTTATTTAATAAGGATTATTTTAACACCCCTACAGGGTTATTTTAAACACCCCTAATACTCAATAGACAACTTTTATGCTCTAGTTTTATTATTCAGTAGGTATGGCAAAATAGGGACATGCCCTGCCCTATGTACTTTAACATGCTTAGTTAAATCCTGTATATATTATGATTTTTTAGGCTCAAGCAAGAGCAGGAATGCCATGTAATGAGACAGTTCCTTCAGGTATGTACATGTATTATAGCAATGGAAATAAAAAAATCTGAATTATTTTTCAAATGCGTTTAGCAGATTATGGAATATGTGTTAATTAGATCACATGAAATGAAGAAAGTGGTAACCCACAAAATATGTGTTAACCTAAGTGACGGGCACCACACCCCCAAAAATGTGATTAAAACAAAATTAAACAGGGTTTTAACAGTAGCCCAATAATAAAACTACACTCTAAATCAGTGGTTCTCAACCTGTGTAACCTCAGGACCCACATTTGTCCTTGGTCATTAAGTCGCGACCCAAGTCGCACTGCAATGGAGTGCACGGCATTAGGGTACCGCGGAGGGCCCTCCTTACCATCTTGTCTTGAATTGTATTGTGATTGTAATGTCTGCCCTATATTGTAAAGCGCTGCGCAAACTGTTGGCGCTATATCAATCCTGTATAATAATAATAATAATAATGTACAAACTGTGGGTGGGAGGTGTGTTTGGGGTACCATTAAAATGAATGGTAACGCAACAGCCTGGATCCTCAGCCTGGGGTCCAGTGTGGGTTGCTGTGCTGTGACGGAGCTCCATCCATATGCATTGCTTGTACAACTCCCTTGTGCGCCCTGTAGAGGTGCCGGGAACCAGAATGTGATGTCACTCTGGTCCAGGCAACTCTACAGGACATGTGAGGAAGCTATAAGCAATGCATGTATGGATGGAGCTCCCTCGCAGCCATACCCCTAGTCCACCCCAACTCAAGCTGACACTTGGCACCGAGCAGCATATTTTAAATGGCTGCTTGGCGCGAGAACTGACAGTGCTGCGCTAGGAGGAGGCTGAGGAACCTATCGCCTAGAAAAGTGGAAGGCATGTGGCGACCCACTGAACATAGGGTCGCGACCCACTTTTGGGTCACGACCCACCAGTTGAGAACCAAGGCTCTAAATCATATATAGAATAAAAATGCAATGTTAAAATTGGATTATGTCCACATTGTTAAAAGCTCTTCCAATGTATAGTGGCTGCGGCACCTCATATAAACCAGCGTCTCTCCAACATAGCAATCTAACAGTCTCTCTTAAAACGTAAATCCCAGAGATAATGATAATAATCTCTCTTAAGACTTATGGGGCTTGTCGATGATATACAACAATATTCTCAATGGGTTTCACTTTAGTTGGCTTCCTCAGGAATGAGGTGTTTTGCAGATGACCACACACATGGGAGTACGAACAAACTGGCAATAGACGCCACCCGTGGGAGGAGGGGGAAGGGGGGCCATGGGAGGGGTCAGATCCGTGAATGGCAGTCACCTGGGATCTAGCTGAACAATCTAGGGATATGGTTGTGTGGGTGTCCCTCCAGTAGATGCATGCTACTTCTTGGGCTGCCATTAAAACCCTGTTTAATTTTGCTTCAATCACATGAAATGAAAAAAAAAAAACCACAGCTCTAGTCTAAATCTGATTATCTCTCCGTACCTGAGCGATTCATGACGAGACAGGAAAGCTCAAAGTGGCTGATAAACAGTCCAGATATTGGAAGATAAGGTCTAAATGTGTTTTTTAATGAAAAAGTGCCATTACAGTATATAGGTAGATTGTCACATATTGCCATTTTCCCTTATGGGAACTTTTTGAAAAGTCCAGTGATTTAATACTGGTCATCATTTGAATCGTCTTACATTGGGCAAAGAAGCTATTTGATATTTACTCACTGGTGTCACCCCTTGGAGGATAATTATTGGTAGATCAAATTCAGAAGATTGCTTTATGGAAATCTAATAGGGCATGCTCATATTACAAGAAATTGATCCACACTGATCAAGTCAAACAGTTAATAACTACCGTCTTTCCTGCTTGCAGTGGCAAAGAACACATTGGACATGATTGCATTATCAGAGGTCTCTACTCAACAGACTGAAACAAAGCAGTTGTCCTTACAAGAACCATATGCCTCCAGAGACCCCTTACCAATGAAGGATGTGGTTGTTCTGCGTGGACTCACTCTAGCTCTGGCCATTGCTATGCTTTTAACTGGAATTCTAATTAAAGTTTGGATATCTGTTAAATGAATAGTATCAAAAATAACTGGCTTTTCGGTATTCTCTAGTGATGAGCTCAGGTTTGGACTGGTTCTAACCTGAGCTCATCCCTAATGTTCTCCTATTGAAACTTCAAGTGTTTGTCCAGGAAAGAGATGAATCCCTTACATTTCAGTTTTAGCCTTTATCAGTATTTCATTTTGTCTTTAGGACTGCTTATTAGGGGAGACACTACCTACCATAGGTACTTACAGAAGTGAATTTGTTATATGCTGTCCAACATTCATGCACCATCAAGTCCTTGTGGTACACTGTTTAACGTTCTCTGTCATGATTATGCTGTTTTGCAGAGTGCAAAGTATCTTTAGCTATGTGAACGGTTACGGGAGATACCACCATAGGTACTTACAGAAGTGAATAAAATGAATAGATATCCATGGCAGCACTTCACCACCAGCACACTAGATGGGTTACTGAAGATTAGAGATTCGGACAAAATCCTGCCTTCTTGTGGAACATATTGAGTGCTATAAATCACTGAACATCTATCCTACCTGAGCAAGGGGAAAGAATTTAGCTGCAGAAACCCCTTTAAAGTTAAACTTCAGACACACAGCCAAATACACACTTGAAATTCATACATATTACTTGTTTTTTCTTATTCCTGGTTTGTGATCTAGGCATCCGTGGCAGACAGAATGACCAGATAATCGAACTCCATTGCAGCAACAGCGCAGCTTAGTCAAAAACACATACCAACCTGCTGATTGAACAATGAAGGAGTGACACCCCAAAACTGATCACCTCAGTTTTCACTCTTCTGTCACAATTTTCAACACATGTGCATTGCAACCTAATTGGCTTTTAGAGATGGTCCTCCCTATCCCTACCCTACTGTGCTGGGATAAGAACAGAAGCCAAGATTAAGGTTCTTACATGAGTTGGAAAAATGCATTTAGATGAATATAGAACGGAATTAAGTGGCTTATCTAACTGGTGTTTAAATGCAATATCTATGAAATACACAATAAAGGTTTTGGAATATGTACCATCAGTTGTAACAGCTTCAATCAGTGTTTTTATAAGAAAAAACATCTATTTAATAGAGCATCCACACACATCCAATGGTCAGTCTGTCCTGCCATCTAGACAGTATGGAGAGAGCAAGCCCATGGTAGCAGTATTTGGAAAATAAGAATCATTTAAAAATGTTTTAAGAACTCTGGGCAGAAATGTTATCAAGCCTTGTAGTGGGGCTCCAATCCGCGGACCCTCCAGCCTGTCTCCTCTGCTGCAGCGATGGTATATCCCTCAGTGTCCTCACGTCCAATACACTGTACTTGAGGATTTCTAGACCGCTTCAGCGGAAGGGGAGAGACACTGAAGGGACCAGTCTAAAGCCTGGTTCACACCTGCGCGTCCCGGGAACGCGCGCTTTTTTATGTGAGACCATTGATTTCAATACGGTCATATCCATGCGCCAAAAAGGCTCCTGCACTGTTTTGTGCTACACGAGGGGCGTTTTTTGCTGCTGCGTTTGTGCGCCTTTGCGTGGAAACATGCTACAAAACTGCATGATTTGCCAGACGAATTTGGGGTGCCAAAAGAAAAAAAATGTTTTGCGTTTGTGCACGTTTATGCAAATACACGGCAATTGCGCGCGAAAATCAAGAATCGCTACACGTTTTTGGAACGCGCAGATGTGAACCAGGCCTAAATATTTGCCATTTCCAAGTGTATCCTATTGAGGCCTGGTTCACCCCTACGCAATTTATCGATATCGTGCAAAATACTGAGTCGCATTCAAGTCAATATAGGCTGTTCACACCTTTGCGTTGCGTCGGCTGGGCAAAATAGTCTGCTGCGCAAAAAGGTACAGGAGTTATTTTTGGGGGGCTGTTGCATGGTTTTGGTCCCAGGGACACCTCTATGCAGGGGGTACCGCATGATTTCCGCATGATGATCGTGGAAAAAAAAACTTGTGCAAACAGCTCAAAAATGCAATCGCCTAGGTGTGAACCAGGCCTTAGGCCCCGTTCACATATAGCGAATTGTCGCGCGATTTCCGCCGCAATATCGCGCATTTTTGCCGCGCGATATCGCGAGAAGTCGCCGGCCAATGTTATTCAATGGAGCTGTCTTAACTCCATGTCGCTCGTCGCTCGTCGCGGTCGCAAGTCGCTTCTACCGGACCCTTTTTTCGGCGGATTTTGCGCGATTTTGCTTTTTTTCTATGGAGCCCGACGGGGAAGGTCGCGCTACCGTCGCTGGATCGTCGCCCCGAAAGTCGCGCTATCCCGGCCGTGCGGATCCGCTGCAAAAGGTATGTCGCTAGGTGTGAATGGGGTCTTAGTGGGACAAATCGCGCTCATCTGGCAAAAAGGAAGCGCATGTACTTTTTCCACTGACAGGCGTTTTTCTACACCCGACACTACGCTCAGGTCCAAATGGAGGCTATAAAAATAAATAGAATTTCTTGTCTTTAGCGTTTCAGTGTGGACAAATCCTCGCGACAAAACGCCTAGGTGCTGGCAGGCTCAGGTTAGTGTAACTTTATTTTTTTTTACTCAAGGCAAAATCGAGCAGCTACCCCTTACAGTACAGGGGTAGACCCACTGAAAGGGTTAACAAATGTCCTGCACTGAGTTGTGCTTTAACAGAAAACGATAGTCTACGTTTTGTATTGGTCATCCTCGTTGACATCGGTCATTTTGCCATCACTGACGAAAGAAATACAGTATTTCTGTTCCCGATTAGAGCTTGCGTCCTTCTACTGCAGCCGCTAGGTGGCAACAGTGTGCACACTCTCATGTAATTGGCTTGCAGGTTTCACATATGCAAATGAGAGTCGTTTGCAGCAAAGTGATGAAGTTTACTATTTATATTCAAATAATCTTTGTCTGTGATCACATCGGAGCACGTATTCAAGGATATTTGATTTTGGATAATAATTATAAACTAATATAATAAGTATATGTAAAATCGCCATAACTTGGTAAGAGATCTGACAGTGTCGGGCTTTCTGCTTTAACAATGTTACAGTAAGACTATACTTTCAGGGATCATTTCTATAGTTCTTAACTGTTGGAATGTGCTCTAAAGTGGTCAGACTCACCAATCACGATGAGGAGCTTTAGCGGTTGTTTCTGAGCGCGAAGTGAGTTAGCAACGCTGCTGTACGGCAATGCTGCTGGCTGTTGATGACCGTTCCTCTTCTCCCTTGTGGAGAAGGAGAAGGGAATGACCGCAACCTGAGTGATTGCTTTTTTCAATATGGTCTAATGATGGATTATAGAAGGAGATAAATGATGGTTATTAAGAAGCAGTATATGAGAAACGTGTAGTTAATCTGGATCTGCACATAAAAGTAACTTTCTACTGGGTTATGGTATCTATGGATAAATTCTATATCACAGTATTGTTACTATGAAGATTGGTACGGGTTCAACAGCGCTTTTTAGAACACGCCCCTAGTGTTCTGCATTGAAGCATAACTGCTCAGCAGTGCCATCTGTTGGGGTAAGTGGTTTATCACCCTCCACATGGAGCGCGGCCAGTGTTGCAGTATGTACGGTAGTGAAGCACGCCTGCCCCGTATAATACACGAATATTTGTTACACGTCCACTAGTCACGTGATTCTGCGTAGCAGCGAGGTGACATTGTCGGCCAATTCCATTTACAACCAATAGATGGCGCTGATAGGCAGTAGCCGTGCTGACGCTTAGCGTATCAGTGCAAATCTAGGGCTAAACTATCAAATGAATAGTTTGAATGGAAATGTGAATATTGATTTGGCTACCAAATGCGTTTGGATCAAATCTTGAGCTTATCAGGCACTAGCTTGTCATTTATTTATATAAAGGTACTCTGCCTCCGTACTAAACATTGACCAGACATACTTGATAGCGGGAAGGTTCCTTCCAATGAACTCACACCCTTTTACAAACAGGCGCTTTTACATTTCAACGTCCGCAATTATTTCGCAGGCCCTGACTTCCAAAATGGCATGCCCACATCAAAGATGGCGCCCGGCGTCTCTGGGGTAGGACGCTTCCTCCCAGGGTGCACTGCGCTCCAGGAAGCGCTTCGAGCTGTCTAAGCAGGAGAAGCAGCTGAGCAGGATGGAGGAAGATGAACTGGAGGTGCTGGAGGAACTGGAAGCTGTGCTCCACCTGGCACCAGAAGTACAGCAAGCCATAGAGCAGGTGAGAGCAGAGACTGAGCTCAGCTGGGAGCCAGGAGTTCAACCTTCCCACACTATAGTGTTGTCAGAGCATCAAAGTGCTGGCCTGTCATTCTAATGATCTAGGATCTCATCTCTACAACATACTAGGAGCATTGTGGGTATTTAATAAAGCCCATCAACACGAGAGGGGAGGGTTACCTATGGCTGTGGTAGTCTTATCACAATGTTAAAAGATTTACAGCTCACATCACATAGTACAATCTGATTGTATAATCTCTTTTAGATCCTACTGCACCGCATCATAATTACATAGTCAGGTTGGAAAGAGACAAGTCCATCGAGTTCAACCACTGTGGTGCATAGAGTTAAAGATGAGCTCTGGGCAGAAATAACCCTAACCCTTGCAGGGGGGCTACCCCGGCACTGCAAGGGTTAATTGCCCGTTTTTGTCTACTCACTCACAAGAACCATCAGAGCTGGCTTCTCGGCCTTTTGGCTAAGATCAGGTGTAGTATCTGTTCTTATCAGTTTTCGGTGGGGAAAAGAACCGTCCTTGCGGGGGATGGTTACTTAGTACTCGCTGGAGTGAAAGAGCGTGTGGGGCGGCTTCCTGTGAGAGGGGAACCGCTCAGTACATGGCTTTCTGACTGAACGGATGCGAAGCTTGGTCTGGCTCGAGGGTTCGGGGGCGGCAGAAGCCCGTGGTGTTGTGCCCCCTGGGGGTGGCGTCCCAGGGGTGCGCATGGAGTCACTTGGGTGTGGGACCCCACATTGACTCACTGTGCACTTGGTCACACACCACCTTGCATTTTCTGCACATCGCCTCTTGGACAGGCCTTATGGCTAGTCCGGGGCAATATTTTTGCACTCCGGCCCCTAAGGCCTGTCAGCGTGGTGCACTGGCACTTTAGTATTATTTATTGCACTCTATGCACGATGCACGATTGACTTTTTGATTGAAATTTTACCCACAGAATGCTGAAGGTGCAGGTTCCTTCGGGGCCTATTCCTGAAGCTGGGAGGAGATTCTGTGCCTCCTACGGGGTTCTCTGTCTCCTCCCACCCAGGAGGTGGGTCTCTCTTCGGGAGAGCCCACTTGCCAAGTACTATGGGGGACCTGTTTCGGCAGGTCCCCAAAGGAAATGGTCCATCGGCCTTCGGGTTGGTGGACCAAAGTATCTCAACCCCTGTCAGGAGCCTTGCGCCCCGGGGGGTCGGGAAATGGGTCCCTTCTTTATTGAAGGACCTTGCACCCTTGTGCACGTTTTTGTGTGCTGTGATTTCACGGTTCACTTTTTTTGTTCACAGGGGGAAGTTTGTTGAGATGCACGTCCAAGGGCTTAAAAAAAAAAATCTGTTCTTATCAGTTGCCGGTGGAAGAACGACACCACTCCTTCTCAGGTGATTAGGATGGTGGCTTAGTATTTACCGGCGTAATTGGTGGGTGTCAGATGGGGTACAGTCCCTCCCGGTTAGATTCTGGCCCAGTGATGCTGGGCTTGTCACCGGTGGTAGGGATGGACCCCGGACAGCACTACCTTCTGATGGGAGTGGCTGCGAAGCTTGGTAGAGGGTTGGGAGGCGGCAGAGCCCGTGGTGTTGTGCCCCCTGGGGGTGGCGTCCCAGGGGTGCTCAGAAAGTCACTTGGGTGTGGGAGACCCACTTTGACTCACTGGCACTTGGTCACACACCACCTTGCATTTTCTGCACATCGCCTCTTAGTCAGGCCTTATGGCTAGTCCGGGGCAATATTTTAGCACCCGGCCCCTAGGGCCTGTCAGCGTGGTGCACTGGCACTATTCCTTTATTTATTGCACCTCATGCACGATTGGCACATTTTTGTGTTTTTGTAAATTTTGACCCACAGATTGCTTAGTGTGCAGGTTCCTCTCCGGGGGGTCGGGAATCTAGGTCCCTTCTTTATTGAAGGACCCAGCACCCTTGTGCACATTTTTGTGTGCTGTGATATCACGGTTCACTTTTTTTGTTCACAGGGGGAAGTTTGTTTTATGATGCACGTCCACGGGCTCTTAAAAAAAAAAAAAAATCAGAGCTGGCTTGTTCTTAGACTGGTCCCTGCAGCCTTTCTCCTCCTCTGCTCTTGTGGTTTAGGGTCCTTTGAGTCATCATGCCATGCACAGTGTATGGACCGTGAGGACTCCGAGGGACATACCATCGCTGGGGCAGAGGGGGAGAGAGGCTGCAGGGACCGGTCTAAGAACAAGCCAGCTCTGAGGTACTCGTGAGTGAGTATAACTTGTTTGTTTTGGCCCTTAGACAAAAATTAGCAATTAACCCTTGCAGTGTGGGGGTAGCCCCACTACAAGGGTTAGTTATTTCTGCCCAGAGTTAGTCTTTAAATGAAGAGTGATTTTCTGACAATTCAATTAAAAAAACCCCAGAAAAAATACAGCACAGTTTGCTGTAACGAAGCATCACACTACTCCTATATACTGCACAGTAGCGGGCACACGTTATAAAGAGCATGTTGCCTGCCTGCTGGTGTGAATGGGCCCTTAAGGAGATTTTCCAGTCAAATGTTATTGTATGGGGCTGGATGTAGAAATCGTAAAGCCACACTCGGGTTAAACATGACATTTCACTGTATACACTGCACTGGGTGTGTGAGTTATCATTAATAAGCTGTATGTGTGTGTTGTGTGTGGAGAAAAATCTTACCTTACAGTAGGGGCGGGCAAGCTCCGGCCCTCCAGTTGTTGTGGAACTACAAATCCCATGAGGCATTGAAAGATTCTAGCAGCCACAGGCATGACTCCTGGAGACAGATGCATCATGGAACTTGTCGTTTCACCACAGCTAGAGGACTGTAATCTGTCCATCCCTGCTTTACAACATGCCATCTCCCGCACACAACACCCACATTCTGGGCACTGAGGAGAGGGAGAGATGCCCCCTGAGTTATACATCACTCTGTGGTCTCATCACCCGCCCTTTTTCACTATCCTCCATTCACAAAATGTCTTGTATTTTTCTCAAAGCATACAACGTGTTCTGTGATTGGAGGAGGATAGGTGATGTCACATCCCCACCCTCTCCTCCTCCAATCACAGAATGGTAAATTGTTGTGTACACAAGTCAAGGGATATTTGAGGCACGCTATCACCTTTTATATAAAGGGCTGTGCAGTTCAATACAATTCAGTAGCATTGTTGTATAGAGTAGGAAACTCACATGTATAGCTTATTATATCATCCTGTGTATGGAAAGGCTGTGGTGAAACTACAAGCGTCATGCCTGTGGCTGTGAGAATCTTTCAGTGTCTTATTGTATTTGTAGATCCACAACAGTGGGAGAGTGGTAGAAAGGACGTTTTAAAACGCACAGCCGCATTCAAGAAGCCACTGTCTGGCCCTTTACCCCCTTTTGACTAAAAATCACATCAGCATGCAGCTCTGCATTCTGATATGAAATCATCTTACATTCATTAATTAAGCAAACATCTTGGTTTCTACTTCCTGGTCTACTTTGGCACAAATGATGTAATGTGCTCAAGCATTGCATCCTGGAAAGATTACATCAGCAGAGCATTGCTGGGAAATCTCCTCCTGTAATCTCACGAGATCTAAGGGAAAGGCATTTTTCCTCCCCTGAGATGATATGCATGGTCACATGTCTAGTCATATGTGCCAGAGTTCCAGGAAGTAAAGGGAATTGCAGTAATCTGCCCTCCCTGTAGATTGTAAGCTCTCACAAGCGCAGGGTCCTTCTAATCCTTTTATATGGTATTGTATATGTACTGTCTCCCCATATATTGTAAAGCATTGCGCAAACTGTTGACACTATACAAGTCCTATATAATAATAATAGAACATTTAATTAAAACTCAAATGGTGTTTGTGTTTCTCATTTCCAGGTTTTCCCCAGTCAGGACCCCTTGGATCGTTCAGACTTCAATGCTGTTGAATATATTAACACTTTATTTCCTACTGAACAGGTAGGTGGAAATGATCATCCATCTTGTCAGTGATTGAGTATTTCAACTTTCACATTTCTAAATTCCACAAGGTTTCTATGGGAATGTTTGACCATTCTTCCAGAAGCGCATTTGTGAGGTCAGGTACTGATGTTGGACGAGAAGGCCTGGCTCGCAGTCTCCACTCCAATTCATCCCAAAGATGCTCTATCGGGTTGAGGTCAGGACTCTGTGCAGGCCAGTCAAGTTCCTCCACCCCAAACTCGCTCCTCCATGTCTTTATGGACCTTGCTTTGTGCACTGGTGCGCAGTCATGTTGGAACAGGAAGGGGCCATCCCCAAACTGTTCCCACAAAGTTGTGAGCATGAAATTGTCCAAAATGTCTTGGTATGCTGATGCCTTAAGAGTTCCCTTCACTGGAACTAAAGGGCCAAGCCCAACCCCTGAAACGCAACCCCGCACCTTAATCACCCCTCCGCCAAACATTACACTTGGCACAATGCAGTCAGGCAAGTATCGTTCTCCTGGCAACCTCCAAACCCAGACACGTCCATCGGATTGCCAGACAGGGAAGCGTGATTCATCACTCCAGAGAACACGTCTCCACTTCTCTAGAGTCCAGAGGTGGCGTGCTTTACACCACGGAACCCGACGCTTTGCATTGCACTTGGTGATGTAAGCAGGGCAGCCATCAGGGGGGTACGGCCGATACTCATGTAAGGGGCTTTGGGGGCCCGTCTGGGACCCTTACATGAGTGTCAGCCGACGGTGAAGAGCGAGGGGGCGGATTTTGAGACCATGGGGAACAAAAGTAGCCACCCTCCAGAAGGTAGGATAGTGTCGGCTCCAATTCAGAGATAATAGTTATAGCACTTGAATGCATTTAAAGGTTTATCTCCTGAGTTTAGTGTCGTCTCCATCTATTGAATACTAATATGATGCAGTCTTCTAAGCAGCCAGCAGATGGAGCACTTTTCACATTATTCTTTTCACATTTAGCGGTATTTAAAGAAGACTGCTGTTTGCAGAACTAGGGGTGAGAAAAGCAGTTTTTTTTTAAAACACTCCCATAAGGCCTAAAACATTTTACACCAAAGAAAATGAGGAGTCACATGACTTGAAATTAAAATACATTGGGGTTACAAATAGAAAGTCCTTTGGAAAATTATTTATCCAGAATGAAAAAATCGCAAGGCACCCCAGACCAAAATGATAAAAAAATTTAACTAAACATTAAAAAAAATAATGCATGGCCTCTACAAAACACTTATGCCAGAAAGGAGTCTAGTATAGATTTTAAGGGTGGACCCTACACACAAACACAAAAAAAAGGGCTTCCTCCCTTTTACATCAGAGTCCCCCCTTAAAATCAGAAGCCCCCTTCACATAGGAGTTGCACATCAGAGTTGCCTTTAAGCTGCATATGAATGAAATTGTAAATACGACATCACTTAGAGAAACCTTACAAGTTAATTTGTTTAAATAAATGTATCCCAAATAAAACCTTATTAACCCTTAGTTGACCCTTAATCAGCCCAGATTAATTTATTTTTACCTTTTAGCTATTTTTTTTTCTGCTGATTTAAAAAAAAATATTTAATATTTTTTAACATTTAATATTTTTTCATGTCTTCAGTGTTGCATGACAAGAAAATCTTCCAAATTGCCATGCTTTGTACCAGAAACATCATTTTAGTGTCATTTCAAACAGGAACATTTATAGAATAAAATGCGTACTTTTTAATTACAGTAAAACTACTTTTACATTAAAACTAACACTAGAATCAAAACACATTTTCTCATTTTGTTAATTACTTTGTCCTAATAATAGGTTACATAACAAAATAATTTTTGCAAAACAATATTGTCAAAAGAGCGCTTCATATTTCCCTATTAAAATGTATATATTACTTTGTTATCTTAAGTAATGAGGACATTATTGACAAATAAACAGGCCCATAGTGGAAATGTAAACATTTCTCTGGTCCATAAAGGGTATACAGGTACGGGAGCTGAAGTGGTTAAGTGGAAAAAAAACTGGTGTTTTACAGCCTCTCTAAAAGGCATTTCTTTGGTGCTGTCTTATAGATACATAATAAAAGACACCCAGACATACCGTATAGTATGATAACTGTTGATCTGCGCTTATGGGTAAGCTACCAGGGGAATAAAGCAGCCACAATCGTAGACTATGTAGTCCTGGAAAATTAAAGAGATTTTGTGGCGCTAAAAGCCCCTACTGTGTCAAACTAATTATCTAAACTAGCCCTATGCTGGTGTATCCACTATTGGTGCATAACGTGATCTTCAGAGTGTTTCCCACTCAAGCTTGTGGTAATGCATTGTTTTTAGCTCAGCATCCAGTATAGTCTGCCAGTTTCCTGTGCTCAACTCACTTTTAAATAACAGAGTCCCATGGTGGATACCATACACTCTCTGTGTGGCATAAACTGCTGCTACAATATGAGACCAGTACATAAGGTGATATTGTTGCATCACATCCCATGTCGTGTCTCAAGACTGGCATCTTCTTTTGTGGAACCTTTTGGGGTAGCTAAGTGCACCTTTGTTGGCATTTACTCCATTAGTGTAACGTAATGTGTCTGCAGCATGGTATATTGGAATTACAAAGTGCAGTAACATAACAATAAATCCGAATTTATTTTACTTAGGTTCCAACAGCACAATATGGATTCTGATTCTGGCTGCTGTAGGAACTGTGCATGGCACTGAACACTTTGCTCCTTGCACTTTTTTATTAAATAAGCTTGTTGATAATACATAGTTTTTTTTATTGCGTATTATGAACAATCGATTGTGAGTTGTCTATTCTTTCTTAAAGAAGAGGTAAGAATCCTTTGCATGGTTTTTGAAAACATAAGGAAAGCACATTATGAAGGAAAGTGTACTTGTGAAAGCTCGATCATTTGGCTTGTGGGCTGACTTTTGAACTATCTAGTTTCTTCCACAAGGGGTCACTGTTTATTCTCTAGTTCATTGTTTATGCTGCTTTTGTTGAGCCATAGGAGTACACCATTGCGTCCCAGCTCACCCATTGTTTTATAATAATAATCTTACATTAATTCACTATCGCCTTGTGCATGAATTTAGGAACCCTATGTAAAGCTTATGATGCAATAACATCTCTAAACAAAACTTAATAAAAAAGGTTATGATAATATGTAACAATGACAGCCAGACCTAATGTAACTTAGTAAAACTGATGTAAAGTGATCTTAGAGCAACTTAGTGTAGTAACCTATGTCAAAGTGCTATAACAACTTTTACTCTTTGACAGTTTTTTGGAATTGTGCTTTAACATAATTTTTATTTAACCAGAATATTTCTATACATTCCAATCAAAAGAGGAGCCTTTTATGTAACATCTAAGCATACATTCGTTGTCTACTGAGCCCTTGATAAAACCAGTCAAGCTTTATTTTCTAGGCTGGATAAATACATGTATGATTTACTTATTTGCTATTGATACAAACTTTCAATCTGTACTTTAGTCACAAAGATACGTATTACATTGAAACACAGTCTTACCTGCCAAAGGATTTGTAATTTCGGTCTAGGTAGAATGGTGATCTGACTATTCTATACTGCTGCCAAGCATTACATGCAGTTCGGGATAGATGATTGTCCCTGGAGCAGACAGATTGCATCCAGGGACAGTCATCTATTCCATGAACAACTACATGCGGACTACTACTGACAGAGCAGCTTCCTTCAACCGGTCATTAATTTGAATGAGCCCAGTGGACACATTTGTATGGACAAACCTGGGATTCCTGTTGCAAAAATCTGTAGGTTCTTGCCTCAGGAATCCCCGACCGCACATAATAGCCCCTTGTGAAGTAAGCCTTACACTCTATCCAAAATGTAAGTAAACATGCACATATTTTTTATACTGCACTGCTGTGGGAAAGAAATGATATGATTTTCCTAATCTAATTGCCCTTAACACGTATTGGCTCCGCCTTTAGTTTGGCTTTATGTAAATCTGTTGTTCAGGCTGGCCATAGACGTTGGGAAGAGTCTACTGTGTTTTTTTTTTGGGCCATTTGTTCATCTATGGCCAGGCTTCCAAGGTCATTCATGCAGTGGTCAGTTAATGGAATCATACATTTGAAATTGTTGATCAGGTCAGTGTCATTAATTTGAAATAAGCTTTAACCTTGCTTCCTTTGCCTTTTTTACAGTCCTTGTCAAACATTGATGATGTTGTAAGCAAAATCCGTTTGAAAATAAGGTATGTAAAGTGTGTTTTATTTTGTTCACAACATCTCTGCTTCTCATGAAAACATATAAGTTTCAGCTTTTCCCAAACACTGCTGGAGTACAACATTGCTTGCAATACTGTATTAGTTGCTAGATTATACTTACCAGTTAGCAGAACTTTAAACTGTTATCTTAAGGGCCCATTCACACCTAGGCGTATTGTAATATGCGCGTCTGTCGCGCGACCATCACGCGGTTTTTTTACCGCGATTCGCGGTAAAAAAGTCGCGCGATTCCAAAGGCTACTTGGCTGTATCCCAATGGAAAACGCCCTACAAAAAGGCCCAAAGTAGTCCCGGGACCTTTTCAGGCGTGGGCCGTTTTGTAGGGCGTTAGGGACGGGCGGAAATACGCCTAGGTAGGAACGAGGGCATTGACTACAATGCTATTTATTTTTTTGACCGTTTTGTAGCGCGTTCGTCGAGCGTAGGACGCGCTACAAAATGGTCAGGTGTGAACGGGGCCTAAAGGGTATTTACTGTCAAACTTTAAAAACAAATCTGTATTTCTATATTGAATTTCTATACGTTCTATCCCACTCCTAATAACCATATCCATATAGAAGTTTGTAAACTTACTTGCTGTAGATGCCCATAGGATGTACTTCCTCAGTACACTGACACAATTTCACTTAGCCCTGTGAATATGCACTTTCTTGTGTCACCTCTCTAACTAAGCCTGCCTTCTGAACTACAACTCCACATCCGAACTTCCCAAATGTAACATTATCATTGCTTCCTGGAAGTAATGCATGATGGGCTATGTAGTCTTGAGAAATTGAGATTACATCACATCAAGCAGCATGGAAAGGGATGCAAAGTCAACTGGAACAACTTATAATGGGATTTTATATGCTGGGACTTTACAACTCCTTTAAGTGTTTCTAATTTAACAGCATCCATGTCATAGAATAGTAAATGCAAATTATTTTGTACCTTGTATGTTGCCTTGCTTTGTTGTTTGGGCTGACAATTGGCCTGCTACCTGTGCTAAATCTTTTCTGTGCATAATGCTTTCTAAGCAGCCAGGGATATACCAAAATGAACAACCATTTTCATTCAGTTTACTTGATCTACACTAAATGATTGGCCTGCTAATATAAACTATTGTAACACTTACAGTTACTATGGATATAAAATGTCTACGTAAATGGCAAGAGCACCTCTCTACATTGATGGTTACTGAAGATGGAGGGCGGCCTGTCCTTTGGTCCTTTCTGCATGCACACAAACATGAAACAGTAGAGCTTTTCAAAGTGAACCTAATGAAGATGGAAATATGATGTAGGTGCCAGGGATGTCATCCTAATCCTGCCTTTCCTAGCTAGTTTTTTATTGACTTGACACAAGCATGCAGTCAGTGAAGTCCTAAAATGGAGAACTCCATCCTGTGTGCTTATTTCAGGTCAGTCATTAACCAGGTAATAATGTTAGGACCTGGATACCTGGATGACAGCCCTGAAGCCTGCACCTCTAAACACAAGTCTTCAGTGGCACCTTCCTTATTTTTATGATTGCAGGTTCCTTTTATTGTCATTCTTTACTTTGATTTAGTCTTATATATTCAAGGTACAGTGCCCATAAATAGCTGTGGTTTTTATCTGGCTAAGTAAACCCTAACAATGAACTTCTCTTCTTTGCTCCATTTGGCTTTTGCTAAATATACCTTGCACTGTCCTTGCTTCCTGTGTTGTTAAGGAGAGTGATTAGCCCTCCCAGTCCTTATCCTGGGACTACAGTCAAGTTAGCCTTAATGTTTTGTTGACGAGAGAGTAGGTGCATTGAGTAGTTTAGTGAAAGATTGGTAGGGCTGACACCACTGAGTCTACAAAAATGCTGTGTGTTGTCAGCCAACAAGAGGACTTTTTTTTCTTGCATGCATTTCTGCCAGATCAACAGGTATTTTTCTATACTTGCAGGGTCTTTAAATGGATCAAATATGTCCATGTATTGCAGAGATGTACTGCCTATTTATTTGTTCATTTATTTTATTTTGCCCTTGCATACATTTTATGGGTGTGCATTACTAGATGTTCACCTTGTTGGTGGCTGTACACATTACAAAGAAGGACTTGTGTGCCTAACATTTGCTGTGGATGTCATGAAGACCTCTTGCATGTATTCAGTCAACCTGGCCTCCTGAGCAATGATCTTGAAAACGTTTTTCTTGTAATCAACATACATTTAGAAGAAGAGATTACAAATACCACTGACAAACTAGATACTTTTCTGCTGATTAGGTGTGTGTGAGATATATATATATATATATATATA